ATATCTAATCTAAATCTGTCCTCTTTCAGTTTAAAACCATTAATCCTTGTCCCATCCTTACACTCCCTGATAGAGTCCCTCCCCATCTTTCCCCTTAAGTACTGGAAGGCTGCTATAAGGTCTCCCCAGAGCCTTCTCTTGTCCAGGCTGAACAACCCCAACTCTCTCAGCCTGTCCTCATAGGGAAGGTGCTCCAGCCCCCTTGATCATCTTTGTGGCCTCCTCTGGACCTGCTCCAACAGGTCTATATATTTACTGTGCCAAAGTCTGCAAAGCTGAACACAGTACCCCAGGTGGGGGTCTCATGAGAGCAGAGTAGAAGGGGGCGAGTCATCTCCCTCAACCTGCTGGCCACAATTCTCTTGATGCAGCCTAGGATACAATTGGCTTTCTGGACTGCGAGCTCACATTTTTCCATCCACTCATACTCCAAGTCCTTCTCTGAAGGGCCACTCTAAATCCACTCATTGCCCAGCCTGTATCCATGTTTGGGATTGCTCTGACCCATGTGCAGGACCTTGCTGAACTTCCTGTGAGGCCCACCTCTCTAGGCTGTCAAGGTCCCTCTGGATGGTATCCCTTATTTTCCTTTGAGAAGGGGGTTTGAGAAATATAGATTCAGATCAAATTCACCTAATAAATAGTACCTATGTAGCAGAGAGCTTGGATTGGAAGCCTTAGCCTGAATTAAAAGAGCAGAAAAAGCTCTGTAAATATTCCTGTAAATTCCTGATCTTTTTTTTTCTTGCTTTTCTGATTTGTGTACAATCTTCCTGCTTTAGTTGGAGAGCTATTATGGATAATTTGATGACACATGACAAAACTACATTCAGAGATTTGATGAGTAAGTATTTAATAAGATGTAGTAGTGACTTTTCTCCAAGAGAAATATCAAAATAAGGGAAAACAAATGTCTTGGAAACATTTTTTCAGCATTTATTCCAATCTGATTTATTCAGTGTTTTTCATGTTTTCTTCAACTACTTGAGATCCATAAATAATATAACTTGAACTGAGAGAATTTGGGACCATCCTGGCACACAGTGAATTTTGCCTATATGGCAAAGTTGATAAAGCAAAGCAGGTGAGGGTGTTTTTTGTTGTGGTTGTTTTGAGATTTTTTTTTTCAGATCTGACACTAACTGCTTAAGGAGAAATTGATTCTGGACATCCCAAAATTCTGAGCATTTAGACCTGCAAATTGTGTTTTGGGAATAAGTTTAGCTTTTTTTTTTTTTTTTTAAAGCCCCCAAACCTAGTCAGTCTTGTGTATACTTACAAGTTTTCTTTCAACATGTATTTTAAATTGCTGTGGTTAAAAATACAAATTGTAGAACATGCATCTTTTTAACATCTGCTTTTGAACTACATTAATGCAGTCAGAGTTATTTGTGCCTTAAAGGAAAACAGAAGGGAATTTTGAAGTTTGTCTCTGCACTATGCATTTTCTCTTTCAGCACGAGTGGCTGTGGCTCAGAGCAGTTCACTCAACCTGTTTGCTAATCGAGATGCAGAGCTGGAACAGCGTGCTATGCTCCTGAAGAGACTGGCTTTCGCAATTTTTAGTAGTGAGATAGACCAATACCAGAAATACCTTCCAGACATACAAGGTCAGTAAAAATGCATCATCTGGTGGACTTCTGGACTCTGAAGTTAAGTGAGAAATATTTCTAAGACAGGGTAACAGCAGGTAAATTTGTCTCCTGGAATATTGGTGTGCAATACCATTTCCTCGTCTGGATGCAAAGTTTTTTTGTCTTTTAGTGCTACCAAGGTGGACATTTTGGTCTCTTCCTCCATATGGAATGTCAATTGCATCATCTTTCTTGTTTCATTTGTTCCAGGATATGTTATTTGATTATTTTTTTTCCCCCAGTTAAATCAGTAGCTGGATTTACTATATTCAAGATAATCAGGTTGTTTTACTGGTCTGAACTGCTAAGTGCATGTGTTGGTTTGAAAAAATTATTTATGTATCTGCCTCTGTATATGTTGAATGCTTAGAGGTGATTATGGTTAAATAAGAATGTATCATCCCTGTGTAAGATCCCATGTACTGTGATGGTGCAGCCTTTTAATAATAATATATTTTATCTGTTCAGGCTGTTGTTGTATTATTTGGAATCTGTTAACTCCTCTTTTTGTAATGGGCAAAACTGCATAAGATGAGTGAAACTCCCAGATGTGCTACTGCGTTTATATGGAGAACTTTAGGGCAAATTATGCAACTGCACTGTTTTGCAGTTTCTTGCTTTTGTTCATTGCTTGTTGAAAGTGGTTATTTTTTACACTGACAGAATAAAACTGGCAAAGTACTGAAACAGTAATGTTGAAGATGCTTTAAAAAAGTAAAAATTGAGAGTAAATGAGAGAAGGAGAAAACACTAGTTGGAGTTATTCTGAACTGAGGAAACCTTCTTGGCTTTTTGTTTCAGAAAGGCTGGTAGAAAGTCTCCGTTTGCCACAGGTGCCCACCCTTCATTCCCAAGTGTTCCTGTTTTTCAGAGTATTGCTTTTAAGAATGTCTCCACAGCACCTTACCTCTCTTTGGCCAACCATGATCACTGAACTGGTGAGTTGCAGTCAACGTTCATGATTTGGAAGACTGGTGCAAATGTGAGACACCACCTCATTCCTCTTCAACATTTTTAAGAAAATCTCTTTGAGATATTGTGCATGTAAATGTACAATGGACATAAATTAACAGCTGACTTATTTTCATAGTCCTGATGTCTAATTTTCTGCAACCAGAGTATCTGTTGGCTTGTGCTTTTTAAGCTGTTCAGATGTCTCCTAAATTAAATTTACGTTTGCCCTTATTGTTCCCTACAAACTCCTACTTCAGTGTCTGCCTATGTATGTGCACACTTTTCACCATTCCCACTCCTGCTCTTCTCAGTGCTCCCTGTTTCTGCTTTCCTTGTCATTCAGCCTTCTTCCTCCAGCGATAAGTATGAGAATCCACAGAAAGGAGGAGTCAGAATCCAGGTTGTATTGGCAGTTGATGGTCATTCAAATCAAATTGTGACTGAAATCTTATAACCATATTTATACAAGGCTTGATTTAGCTTTCTTCTTTCTCTTGTTTTACTCTGCATAACAAGACAGGATAAACATCTGTTTTCAGAGCTGCTACCTGTGAAGTCTCCAATGCTGACTGTTTGCCAGTCTTTTGGATTTCAGCTTTGGCAGTGGGAATGGAGGAGAGTGTTTAGTGCATCCTGTGGTCTGTTTGGCCTGTTAGCCAAGGAATTCCCAAGGGACTGGCTACACAGCAAATCAGAATCACTGCTGTGACTTTTTTTTTTTTCATTTGTAGGCATCTAACCTAGCCCTTAGTTAACCACAGATCTAAGTAATAGAAGGAGAAAAACTATATAAAGTATTTTAAAGATCAAGTGCATTGTTTTAGCAATAGATGCATTTAATTTTGAGCCTGTGAATAGTATAAATACTAGGAAACTCATTTTACTCAGTGTGATCCTCCAGTTCCTGTGCTGTCCCCTGGCCTTTACACAGGCCACCACAGTCCTGAATCTACTTTCAGTGGACAAGACTGTGTTACTTCTGTGAATTCACACCTGAGCTTGGCTGCTCTGCTATATGATTCTTTATTCTCATTTTGTTTAGGTCTTGATTTCTTTTTAAGTAGTGGAGGGGATTATCCTCTGTGAGCTTTCATGGCCATAAAAGAGCCAGTTTCTTATGGTCCGAGTAGCACAAGGGCTATATATAAGTGATGAAAGAGCTTTAGGGTGCCAGTGTCCACTCATAGTTCAGGGGGTTATTTCATCATCCAGGAAGGGAAATAAAGTTCCAAACAGTTTCTCTAAGGCTTATTACTCAGGCCTCCCTACAGCATTTTCCTGAGTCACAGTCCATAAAAAAGTGGTATTAAAATTCAGCATTTGATCTTCAGGTACAAGTGTTTTTATTGATGGAACAGGAGCTCACTGCTGATGAAGACATTTCCAGGTAAACTTATAAACTTCCCATTTGGATAAATTGATAAGTCTCCTAGCATGCTGATGGGCAGTTGAGTCATTCTTTAGAATAATTTGTATTAGAATTGTCAAGCTCAGATGAAGGACAAGTAAAGGGTAGTTCAGTCTGACTGCAGTACCAGGGATGTACTGTTCAGGACAAAACAAAAAATAAAATCCCACTGTCAGATTGTTCATAAACCACTAAGATAAATTATGCAATTCAAGTGTGTTCTTACAGTGTCTTCTGGCTAAAATGACACTGCTTCTGCAATTAAAGTATGCATGGCATGACTTTATAGATTTTCTGTATCATACACTTATTTAGAATGACTGATGCACTTTTTAAAATGTGGTTTCTTCTAGTGTTAGAAAGACATAAAGATAAGGTAGATAATTTTTCCTGTACTGTCCATTTTTATCCAGTTTCAGTCGGTGTCATCAGAAGAGGCAGGTGTCTCAACAGAACAGGAGAAATCTGCCAAAATCTCGTTCTTCACTTTTTTCTAGATTCTCTTTGTTCTTTTGAAGAATATTTCCCTAAAATAAAGTAATATTGACATGACTGGCAATTCTAAACTTTCTCTTAACTTGGATGTCGGATGGGAATGAGCTACAGCATAACATATTTATTATATATTAACATTTTATGATATATCTATACATAGAAAAATGATACAGAACTCCACCCATAGCACAGACTTACAATGTTCAGGTTTGTCTTTACAGATTCAGGATTAAGTTGATAAATAGAGTTGTGTGTTTGTAAAGGGAAGTAAGAAATATTATGTTCCCATAGTGGCAGAAGGCTGTTATAACTCACCTGCCTGCTACAATTGATTTTAGAACTTCTGGCCCATCTGTTGCTGGTCTGGAGACAACATACACAGGCGGCAATGGTTTCTCCACATCCTACAATAGCCAGAGATGGTTGAACCTGTACTTGTCTGCTTGCAAATTTCTGGACTTGGCCCTAGCTTTACCATCTGAAAACCTGCCTCAGTTTCAGATGTGAGTAGAAGACACTGTCATTTAAGTTTTTGGTTGTTTGTCCAAGCCTCTTGGTAAGATTTTAGTGTACAAAAATCTTTGGTTTTCTATTTCCTTTCCTTTTCTGGCCTTCACCCACAGCAGTCCACCGTTCATTTCCTCACAGTATCAGAGAGGCCCCCAGAGCAAGTGATGCTACACACCAGATGAGTTCAAGCTGGTTTGATTTAGCCTGGGGCAAGGGATTCTCCACACTTGTGAGCTAATCAGTAATAGTAATTTATTCTTCAAGTATTTTATTCTTAAAGTATTTAGTTGCAGTAATGTCTAAGAACTCAAAATACACCCACACGTCTCAGTGACTAATGCATGAGATCAGACAACTGTATGTCATCTCAGCATGACTCACTTAAATTACTCCTGCATGATCTGTCTGGAAGGTGTTGCAACAAACCTGCTTGTGAAGGTGACCCCATAGATTTTTCTTGGTCAGTAGTATTAATGCGTGCAGACTACTTCCTCAGTGCCTCTGTAACTCAGTTCTGTTGGAATAAAATGAATGCAAACCAACTGGCACTTGCTGAAGAACCTAGAAATGAGAGGCCACCAAGGACAAAAGGTATCTTGTCTCTTCCTTTATACTGCACAGTAGTAACCATGTGAGAGCTGCTGTCTTGGCACAGCTCTGTAGACATTTAGTCGCCTCTAATTATTCTGTTATTTAAAAGATGCTTGTGTGGGTTAGAGGGTGGAAGGACTGTCATAGATGGTGTCAGTTTGTGCCCTGTAGTGTTTCTAAATTGAAAGCTAATCTTGAAGGTTCCTTCCTTCATTTTATTTTCTGGGGATTTGGCTCCTAATTTTTGTTCAGTTCTCTAAGCTGTTCTAATCACCATTATTAGCCAACCTAGTTTTAGTTAGGTTATTACTGTGCATTTCTGGAAGAACAATAGTCATGCTGAATCACACTGTCTTTTATGGCATTCTCATGGAGGCTTGGACTGAAGGTTTAAGGACAGAAACCTTGATTTCCTTTATAATGCAAGTAGCCTGTCCTTGCAGTGCGGCAAGGTTGGGGGAAGGAGGGAATGGTCCACTTGGTCTCGTTGGCCTATGAACAGGTAAAATAAATAGATTTCTGTTATGAACATGGTATATCAAGAACATTTTGTGTGTTATAGTAAGCATTGCAAATGTGCCACAAAATGTTTTAATTAACTTACATAATTTATAATTCAGAATTGCTTTCAGTTCACTTGCACATATTGAAGATGTGAATACTACTGGCTTTAGCTTCTCTGCCTTATCTGGCTCTTGGCATCCTTAAATACTTTAAGAACTCTAAAGGAAAAAGGCAATGCCACATTCTCAGCCATGTTAGTTCCTGCTTTTCAGAATGTGCATTTCCTCTTCTTTCTTGTCAGGCTAATGTGTTTTGTATGGGCTGGTTTTGGGTTTTGTACCCCTGCCTCTTTCTTTGATACTTAACTAGGTTTCTCATCCACTGATATTTTTAGATCTAGCAGAAAAGCCTGCATGTTCATTAAGGATAATGTCTGCTTGTGTTATCTCATGACAGGTATCGTTGGGCTTTTATTCCAGAAGCATCAGATGATTCAGGCTTGGAAGTACGAAGGCAGGGTACACATCAGAGGGAATTCAAACCATATGTGGTGCGTCTAGCAAAACTGCTGCGAAAAAAAGCAAAGGTATGTTGCTTCCTTCCAGTTTTGCCTTTCATTGAAAAGTTTCATGTACAGTACTGGTTAGTTTTGAATATTTATTTATTTTTAAAAATGAAGAATGGAAAGGAGTTTATCTGATGTGGAAGATTCCCACTGGAGTAATCTCGAGTCAGCATAAGGCAAAAAACCACATGTAGGTATATAAAACAAACAATCAAAAAATAAAACAAACAACAACAAAACCAAACCAAAACAAACAACAAAAAAATCCCCAAACCTGCTATGATAGAAAAAAGACTAAGGTCAGTGAGTTTGGAGTTTCCCTTTAAAAGTATTATTTGAGTAAAAAGTAAAATATGCTTCAGTGTGTAATATATTTTAATGTAAAATCACTTTCAGATACAGTCATGTATATAGATACTAGTATAGCTAAATACCTTTTGAAGTGGAAGAGCATTTTTGTTAATAATCACATTTAAATATTTAGAAAACTGTTGCATTCCTAAGAATTACAGAACCAAGAGTTTTGAGACTGTGCTGAGCCAGAGAGAGCTGGGTTTCTTCCCTGAAGCAGTTATGATGAATGGAAGAAAGCAGAGAGCAGTAGAAACAGTTCTGGGAAATCTTGCCTGCACAGTTTGTAGAGTTACTATGTTGGTACATGAGGTATATTAAAACTCTAGTTTGGGTGGGGTGGAGGCCGGATCCACCCATGAAACTGCTGTAAGCTGGCCGAGCCATGTCCTGGGGAGTTTCCTTCTGCTGCCATAAAGAAATAAAAATGCTGGCACATACTTTGCTGTTGCTGCTGTGAGGCCAGAGCCCCCCTGGGCAGGCACTTCACTGGGAAAGGTTGCTGGGTGGGCCAGGGAAACAGGGAGGAAGCTTGAAGCCATATGGGAGAAAGCTTTGACGCTTCATTCTTGGTTTTCCCTCCAAATAGATGGCATTGTCAGGGCTGTAACACTGGCAGCTTGCTACTGCCTTTACAATTTCTAATCAGTGTTTTCACTGAGTAAAGAAACTCCTGCTGCCATAAAAATGGCTACATAAAATTTAGGGATAACTTAACTGCAGGCAGATCTGAACTATTCAAGCCAAGGCTACAGGGTGTATAGGGGATAAAACAAGTATCTGAAGCACATCTGCATTTTATTGGTTTTGAACCATGAGATGAGATGACATTTCTCTTCTCACATGTATAAAGGAATAATCAATTTTAACTGATTGTTAATCAGGCATAGCCTCTCACCCTGATGTTCAGTGTAGTGAACTATACCTGTTAGAAAGTTGTCATACTCCAAATAATCTTTCTGCATGAATTATAATTTACATACGATGTATAAAATACAGACTGGTAAGTACTGTATGTTCAGATAGATGACTGAAGTCAGGACTTCCACAGTATGCTTCAGGAATATAGAAAAATTTCTGGAATTTCTGGAACCCCCTAGTCTTGGCAGCAGTTGCACACTGTGAACCATAGCTAGGGCTGTGATGGCGAGATAAACATGAGATAATGAATATTGACTTCCAGGCCATTTCTTCTTTGTGCAGAGGAGAATACTGTTGCTTATAGCTGTGGGTTTTTCTTAAAAAAAAAATAGTGTTTCTGAGCAAAATGTTCCAGTGGATCCTAATTTTCCCTCAGGACACTCTGATGCTCAGATTCGTGTAGTATGGTGTTGCTCAGGCTGTGTTGTCTGAAGGAAACATGCTTAAAAACCTCCTTCAGCACTGCTGGCAATAAACAGATGAACAAACCAGAAGTGCTGTTATTAGTTCTGGTGCTGTCACAGTGTCCTGGCCTTGCTAGCTCCAGAGTCTGCCGTTTCTAGACCATGGACTCTTCGGGGTGGGTGATTTTTCTAGCTGAATCTGAGCACCCAACCAAGCAACTGCACGGCCTTCACGGCAAAGTATTATTTTGATATATGAAATGCAGTCTGAAAGTTCTCCTCTTTCCTTCCACAGGACAAACAGGAGGACTTTAAGACGGTGGTTTTGGAGGGAATGGAGATGGCCAAGCATCAGGTGAGGGTGGCCTTTGATGCTTGAGTTGTGAAATAAGCTTGCCATAATAATACTGTCACCTCAAGGCCCTGGGCAGTATTTAGCCTTCAGTAAGAACTAAGAGATCAGTCTTGTTAGAGGACAAAGTTGAGAGATTTTTGAAGTGAAAGACTCATGAAGGCCCTTTTATAGATAAGTTGATTTCCTACATGAAATACATTACAAAAAGTTAATGTGTTTAGAAGAATTATGATTGCAAATCATTATAAAATTGAATAATAAAATTTTTGCCAAATGGCAGGTATGAAACACAATCCCTAATCGTTCTCTGTCAAATTATCTGTTGTTTTAAGTATCCAATAAATGAATTAGTGGTGTTTGCTTAGCAGATACTGCCGTGAGGAAATGGCTTGGATGGTTTGTATTTCATTGCTCAGAGAGAATTAGTACTTGCATGTGCACCCTGTTTGGCTGCTGTGTAACACTGACGCTTGTGGCATGTTGGAGGTAGTCCGTGCTTACCACTGGGGAGTGCTTAAGCACAGCAGAGAACCTCTCTGAACTGAAAAGCCTCTCTTCTGGGAATCCAGTGTGAAGTTTTTGAAAGGAAAACTTTAAAAACTAGTAGCTTCACTAAAAGTAGGGGACATCAACAACTCCGTGTTGGAATTCAGTCTTCCCTTTGTTCGAGTTCATTATGAGCCTTTCTTTCCTTGAGACTGGTAGGGCTAGAATAGCAGTTTCCGGTGACAGGGAGCCAAACCACCAGATTAAAATACTAAATAAATTTATATTTAATTTTAACCTAATTGTTTTTTTGTGAAACAGATGTCCTGTAGGCTCCTGAATTGCAAGACAGTTGCTTCATTTAAAGGGCAAAAATTGTATTTGCTAAAGTATTGTCTCTTGAAGAAAAACTGTTTGCTCAAAGGCTGTGCAGTCAGTAATCCTTCCCTTATGCTGTGTTCTCACTGCTGTTCTTTCCCCTTTGTTCTCCTTGTGTTACAAAGCCTGCTCCTCAGGAGCTGTGCAGCCTCGAGGGGTCTCAGAGCCCCGCCTTGGCCAAGGCACTGCCAGGGCAGTAGGAGACAGGCGCTGGTCAGAGCTGGACTGGGATGTGGCTTTCCTTTGTGCTGCTTTTCTCCTCCCTCACAGAATAAAAAACAGTATTGCTGGAACTCTACTTCTCATACTCGTGGTTTGTCAGTAACAGTCCAAACAAGGTGTTTCTGGCAGTGATACCACCTTATTGTCTAGATCTGAATGCTATTTTGACTCAAAGGAAGAAAAGGAAATGAGTGAAGAGTACCATATAAGCAGCTGAGTGTTAGTGCTCAGGTATTTTGGTATGCAGATATTTAAGGCAACCTGAAACAGTTACAGCAGTGTCCTGACACTGCCTGTGAGCATCGGGTGTGTGACTGCTGCCTTTGCTGGTGAGGTTCCTGAAATTCTCTCCCTTGAAATTCTCCCCACAAAACGGAAGGTGCATAACCAAGGCCACCTGAGAAGGCACAATGAGTAACTGAACTGTTTCCTTTGAGGACTACGTTGTTTGCTCAGAGCCTCCATCTGCATCATTCTTCAGACTAAAGACAGCGCTGCTTTTGCTCTTCCTGAAAACTCTGAACTCTAGCTTCAATGTAAAAAATGCTTCGTTTCTATTCTAACTTCCTCTGGGGTTCGTTGTCCTCAGTGCTGGCAGTAGGGTGAAGCACAAGCATTACCAGAGACCAGCCTGCTTTGGAAAGCAGCTGAAGTATCACACACCTTTCCCAGGCAGCTGCAACACCGGCTATCACCGGCTTGGGGGGTTTACATTAGCCAGTGGGTGCTGGCACCAGGGGCAGCTCTCGGTGCCAGGCCTGGGGGTGGCCTTGCTTCGGGGCAGCCCGGTGCTGAGGCAGTGGACTCCGGTGCCCAACAGCTCTCCCGTTAGCATTGGACTCCCAGCCCTTTCCCCTCACTGCTGTGGTAGAGCATGGTGAGGGGACGAGCGGGAGATCTGCTTCGAAAGCTGCACTCCAGCATGTGTGTATTTTGGTGATAGGACAAATTTTTGGAATATAGAAAAATACTTCATTTGGCATTAATATTTTATTTTTACCTGTGCTTTTTCTGTTTTGTCCTGTATTATTTCCCATTTCTCTGTATTTACAGAAAAACCCAGAGGAGGACAGCTCAGGGAAAACACTAAGTTGGGAACCAGGTCACTTGCTTTTAACCATCTACACTGTTCGCAGCATTGAGCAGCTTTTGCCTTTCTTCAATGTACTCAGCCAAGTTTTTAACAGCAAAGTCACAAGCAGATGTGTCGGACACTCAGGGAGCCCTGTCCTTTACCCCAACTGTTTTCCAAGTAAGGACATAAAAATGGAGAACCTCAAGACCTTCTCCAGCAAAGCAAGACAAAAGATAGAAGAAATGGTTGAGAAAGATTTTCTTGAAGGTGTCATAAAAACATGAACCAAACTGGTACTACTCAGCTTATATGTAGTGTAACTATTTAAATGAAATACTGTATCTTTCCCAGTTGTATAGTATTCTTTTCTTACTTTGTATGTAATGAAATACTTAATGTTGTATTTAAGTTAAATATTTGTAAATAAGAGAAAAGTTCTGGATGTGGCCTGAATCAAGTTTAAGTATTGTTGGCTCATATTGATTATGGTGCCTACTCTTTACAGTACATGTTTTGTTGTCTTGAGTTCTGTCTTTAAAAAATCCTGAAAAATACAAGGTGCACATTTTTTCAATTTGTTTCCAGTTTATTTTGTCTTTTTTTTTTTATCCATTGGAACTTGTGCTTATTTAGCAATCTGGAAAATGCCATTATCCCAGGAGTTAATACAGGACTACAGTAAAAAATACATTTGTTGGAGGTAGATACCCTGAATTGAAAAATGTGGAGGAGGATACTTGTGTATCAAAAACATTACATCCCATTGGCCCTGCCCTTCACACTGCTGGGGGGGTAGTAAGGGCCACAGAAAGCGAACTTGTCTCTGTCCCCTCCCTCTTAAAAGTGATTATATTACTGCAAATTGCTTTCTAAGCAATAATTTCATAAAAGTATCTAATGAAGATATTATTATTGCAATAATACATGATTATTAGCAAATGCTCTTTTTCATTGTTGTTTCCCCCTTGAACAGCAATGACCTGAATCTCAGGACCAGTGCCAGCCTCTGCCTCGCACTGTCTGTCTGCTGATGATGTGGGTTGCTGGGGGAAGGCAGGGATGATGTTTCCGCAGCAGTGTTCTGTGCTGCAGCTACTGTGAGTGCACTGAGGGTAGGGGAGATGGACTTCAGGCACAAGGTGACAATAACCTCTGAAAGAAGCTGGGTGGGGAGCAGAATTCCTTCTGGGCATTCCTTCAGTCAAGAAGTGAGTCACCTCTAAGTCACTTCAGCTTCAGATGTTAGACAAACTCGGGGTGGGGTGGAAGCATTCAGCAGCAAGGTGAGCAGCAAGAGCATCTCGTCAAGAAGTTGCTAACAGAGGTAAAGAGGTAAAGCTCAGTTCTGATTAATCCTTGCTTCTCTTAGGAGGGGTTGGGTATGTCCATGCTAGCAATTAGTAAAGAAAGTAATATTAAAAAATAAGTCAATTTATAAACTTTTAACTGCAGGTGTACCATTTGTTATATAGGCTGGGGTGGTGCTCCTTTTCCACCAGCGAGGTGGTAAACAGCCAGGCTTACTTCATGGGCGAGGGCATCTGCATTCTCCTGTGGAACGTTTTAAAAGATATTACAGTGGTGTCAGCATGAGGAGGTTAGAGCAAATATGTGGTATTTCCTGCAAATGCTGTGTTCCCTATATTGCTCTGTCACGCCAGGGTACCTTCTGCCACTGTGGTCGTGCTGGCAGGAAGAAGCAGGAAGGAACATGTGAACAGGGAAGAGCAGGACCACTACTTTTGCTATCAACTTTAAGTTCACATGTGGACTAATTCTTAATGTTTGGCTGCTGTTATTTGGTTTATTTTGCCTCTTAAGAAACCATGCCCTTACAGGCTGCTTTGGAAACTTTCTTAACCCTGAGTTCTCAGAAGGCTGACTTTCTTTTCAAAATAATCTAGTGTCAAATCTGCCTTTATAAACATTTAACTTTTAAACATAAACATTGAGAACATTAAACATTACTTCTATAAATAAAAGAAAATCCAAAGACTTTGTGATTACTAAGTTTTTGTCCAAATTTAGCATCTGTTAAGTGTGAATAAATGATCATGTAAACTCTTCTCCCTCCATCACCTACTGCTAAGCAGAAGATTAACATAAATCCCCTTCATATACCAGTTGTTTAAGCTCTGACCTGTGTGTCTGCTTCAGCGTATATTCTAACAACATCTTCTGTTCCTGATGGACGGACAAATGCTCGGGACAATTTGTAGTTCTTTACAAGTGCATCGATTTTCTCCTGTAGTCCCGGAGGTGCAACTGCACGCCTTTCTGCATCTGTTGTGTCAATCACTCGCCTGTCTGCAACCTGCAGCATCAGAAACACCCAATTTATTTGTGTGCTGGAGCTGTATGATGAGAGCAGAATGGAAAAGGTTGCATGTAAGACAGAACTTCAGGTTTTGATGTGTTGCGCTGCCTGAAGAAGAGCTTAATCTAAACACTTTGGGCTCCCTAAGATCCCTGCTCAGCACCTGTAACCAAGAAGTCCTGACAGGACTCAGCTGCTTAATTTGGAAAAAGGGTCAGTTCTGTACCTGCCTCCTTGGTCAGCCTCTGAACTGAAGCTGCAGCTTCTCCCTGTAGATGAGGAAGCTTAAACTCTTTCCTCTGGTGATTTTAGAGCTCAGAGCTCCCTTACTGTGTCTAATAGAATTCTACCACATGGGACCCTGTTCTGTTGAAGCTCTTATCTGAATATTTGAGAAGATAAAGAAGTAAGGACCTGAATATTCAAGTTACACAAAGTGGCACAGCAAGAAAAATCCAGCTGCCCAGCAGGCAGGGGCCTTAAAAAAAATCCTATTTTTCTAATTTGAAAGTTAAGACAGAAATTCTAAGTTAATGTGAACTGTTTTGGACAGTTTTTTCCATTAAACATAGTTGGCTATTATTTTATCATTTCTGTAAGTCATATTTTAGTCCAAGTGACATTCTGGTCCCACCTCTGGGTTATTTCATGGCTTGCTTGGCCTACTTCTGCCTTTAATGGGCTTTTTCAGCTCTAAAATAGAGCTTATTTAAGCATATATGCAGGCAAGAGATGCTCACAGCAGGGCCCCAAGAGCCTGCTGTAGCCTGAGCCAGTGTGGCATGCAACTCACCTGAACTTTGAGCAGCCGATTCGGAAGGTCAGTGTAGATGGCATCCCACTGTTGCACGGTCAGACCTTTCAAAGCCAGGATTGCTTCAATAACCAACATGTCTGAAATAGCATCACCAACTGTCTGTTAACAGGAAGGGAAGAAACACTGAGGCAGTCAACAGTGAAGAAACAAAGGCATGATTTGTTCAGCAAGCTCCCCACTGAAGGGAGGGACAGTGCAGCCAGGCTGACTTGTCTCCACTGGGGTAGCTAAGGGTGGTTAGTTGGTTGTGGGCGTGGTGGTCTGACCCTGTGGTAAGGAGAACAGCAGCATACACGTGGTGTGTTGGTTTAGGCCCTGCCAGGACCAGAGACCACGTTGCCATTGTCCCTCCCCCACCCTCAGACACAAGTAGGGCACAAACCCCAGGTTGAAATAAGAAGAAATTTAATACAACCGTGTAATAAGCAATCTGAACCACAACAGTAGCAATGATAACAACAGTAAACAGTAATAACAGTAAACAAGACAAAAGATATACAGAGAAATACCGCAATGGTTACAGACAGCCCCGTGCTCCCCACGACCAAAGCCACAAAGGAAAAAGTACCCGCGCTCCCGCGCCCAGACCTGACATCAGCATGGTATGAATAACCCGGCTGGAGATCCCTTCCCCCTCTCTGCTGGGGAAACTTAACCCTATCCCAGCTGAACCAGGACACAAGGGCAAGTGCTAGTCCTCGCCTCTCCTAAGGAGGACTGGCACCTCACCTTTGTTCTGGGGTCAGGATGCTTAAAGCTGGCCTGTGGAGTATGATGTGGCACAACCCCAGATGAGTTACAGCTGTGCTAAGCCAGGGAGTCCCAGGGCTGTGTGGACATGGGCACTGGGACACCCCATACTCCCGTACTATGTAAGTTAGTGAAACACCTCAGATGAAAGTTTACTTGCTGTTGAATCATGACCAAGTCCCATCCTATCGCTAGGTTCCCGTGCTATCCCCCTCCCTCTTTGGGTCCTGAAGCCAGGAGACTGCACCAGATAAAAGCATTCTACATCCACTCATGTGAAAGTACTGCATCTTTCTAAAGAAGGCAGTTCTTACCCTTTTCTTGTTGGCCCCATCTATCACAGCACCCTGCTTCCTGCTACAGGCAGTCCCTGGCAGTAGCCTGACAGGTACTCACAAGCGGGGTTAGCGCCATGACTGTCAACTTGGTGATTTGTTTCTCTCAGTTTTTACCTGATTAATCAAGTGAATCATGTTTTCAAGCACCTTCGCTGCTTCTCTTTTTTCATCATCTTTCTCCTCTTTTGCCAGTTGTCTTATTTTAGTTTCAGCAGCTTTACTAAATAATACCTAGAGTAAAAAGATAAGAGCTTGTCAGGATCAGCCCACATCACAAACTAGGTTATGTGCAGCAATGAGGAAGAACTTTTACCATTTAACCCCAAATAACCATCATTAATGTTTTCCACCATGAACTCCCATCCTCACATAAAACACAGAGGATATGCTAAATACAGAAGGGGGAAACCAGTCTGTTCTCTAACAAGGTGAGAAAAGCTTTGTTTATAAATACAAGCAGAGAGGGAAAAGACCTCCTTCTCCAGCTAATGCAACTAAAATTTTGTACATATTAGTTGAGCTTATGCATTACATGCTCATACTTACTGTACCATGTCCATTTGCCTCAAAATAAACACCAACATCAAACTCCTGGGCCTTGTGATGCAAGTGTTTCACTCCTGTTTTGACGCAGTGCACAGGTACCTGCAGCCCAAGGATATGCAGAAAATGTTGAACAGTGTTACAGACTCCTGTCAGTAGACAGGAACTGCAGGTGAAGAGCTACGAACTCAGCACCAACCCTGGTAGACTGTTACAAACTAACATGGATTTTACAACTACTGACTTCCCAGAGCTAAAATTATCCACTACTTCTGCAGACCCGATTAAAAAGATTTCATTTATTCAAGTGGAAATAAAGGCTGAATTAATAAATAAATTAATAAACAAAGCCCCAAACCAAGAAGAACCTAATTAATTTTCTGCTTTCAGGGAACATACCAGATTTCTATCCAAACCAAAAAAAAACCAAAAAAAACCTTAGCTCAATTTCCATTTTGAACAACATTTAGCCTGTTGCAGAAAATTAAACAACCAGGGTCAGAGTATCAAGGAGCCTTTACCAACACACTTCACTGCAAAGCCATAAAGTTCTCAACTTGTTCCAGAAATAACAAGGGATTTTGTTTAGCTTTTGCCAACCTTTTTTAAAACTAGTAAAAGCTGACTAGAACGCCTTCAGCTTTGCTCTTTTCCATCTCTTTAACGACCATTAATTTAGTTACTCCTGCAGGTTTGAAATTTATTTTAGCCCAGTTTAAATTTTCCTAGCAATCATACTACAGTAGCATTTTTTTTTAAGTAAACAAATTTGCAGTAAACAACATTTTCGGAAAACTAACAGAAAAAAGAAAGAATACCTTCAGTGTTTCTTCAAGGTAGCGTGTTGAACTCCCATTGGCATATGCTGTTTGCACCACTGCCATCTTTAAGGTCGGACCCACCTGAGCAAACAAAGCAGCAAAGTGCTTTACTGTCCAATAGGCACATAGCCGGATAAATAGAAGGATAATCAGAATTATTAAACATACATTCTGCTACAGACACTTAAAACTCCTGCACATCAGAGAAAGGCACCAGCTCAGAGAACATCTATATGTTTAAGACAATGTGAATTCTGTTCAGTTCTTTGGATGTCATGTTTTTTGTGGCTGGCTTGAAGCAGCTCTCCAAGCTTGGGCTTTCCAAACCCCTTTTTCAGATTCAGGAAGCTCAGAGCACTGGCCAGACATGGGGCATTACGTGAGGCGGTATACACAAGCAGTACGGTCAGATCTTCCAGCGCAAAGCAAGCAAGGCTGGTGGCATGCACAAGTTCTCCTCACTGGCCAGCTTCTCTGCCACAGTGTAAGAAATGAGCTAATCTCTAAGAACAAACCCAGGATACCTTGTCTAGGTTTAATATCATAGACACCAAGTCTAAAAGGACTTGTGAAAAATAAAAGGTTTTTCTCCCTCTCCCTTGTGAGGAGAGGATGTTATGAGGCAGAGAGTGTTTTGGAATGATAACATACAAACCCCTGGACTGCTACAACCAAGTTCTCATGCAAATGGAATGCCCAACCTTCATAAAGCTTTACAGAAACGCTGAGGGAAGGACTCAACCAAAAAATAATGAAAACTTAATGAAAGATACCAAAATAAAGAGAATAGATATCAATACTTTGTATACCAAAACTGGAAAAGTTTTCTCCCAGTAAGAAAAGGTTCCAGGTTAAAATATCAGTGCTTAGATTTCTATTTGGTGTGTGGAATTCACACCTTTGTAAAAACAACATTTTGGCCATATCCATGAGGTGCAGGACTGATTTCTTTTTAAACTGGGTTCACTTTAAGTAGATATGGAGAGACCACATACGTACAAACTAACACAGCTTCCGTAGACAATTTTACACATCACAAATAAAAGTGTCAACATTCATTTCATACATTAGAGTTACCTTGGCAAGAAGTTCTTTAAGGAAGATACTAATTAAAGTTGCTATTTTATCTCCATCAATTAGGTGAAAATGGCCAGTTGTGTCCTTATAGTAATAGACAATTCTATCTGCATCGCCATCAAATGAGCAGCATCTCTCATTGGGCTTCATGTCTAGCCCTGGTGCACACAGAGTTATAAATGCAAGTTAGAGGTAGAAAAAGATATAAAAATGTTTCAATTAGTCCCACTGTGGATCTCATGCCTAAATCAGCTCTGTGCAGTCACACACACAAAACTAGTGCCCTGAAACCAGACACTGCTTTCACTAAGAGACTTGCAACAGGGAAGCTGTATTGAATGGCAACTGAAAATTGCATATTCAGATCAAAAATATAAATACTAATATAAAAAAATGCAGGTTCTCTAAACATTTATTATGCTACATCTTCTCCCCAAATGTGTACGAAAAATGAGTCCCGGAACTACTGGGTGTAGTCACATCTCTAAATTTTGGAAACAAGCGCTGAATGTCAGTCACAGCACATGGTTAAAAACCTTGCAGCAGCAGAACACCCACCCCTTTTCTCACGCCCTTGGCCAGCACAGAGCACACGGACTCACACACATCACCCACGGACAGAGGCGGATGGGACAGGGGCGGCTCGCCTCCCCCCGCCGCGCAGTGAGTGAGCCAGTGTTTGCCGAGCGACAGCCGGGGGCCTGCCTGGCACCGGGGCAGGAGCCTGAAGCTGACCTCGGTGGGCACGGGGCACTCGCTCAGCCCTCCCTTACCACTCCTGGGAGTGGGACCACGACATGTTGCACACTGAGGCAGAGGAGGGCTGCAGAGCCATGTCACCTACATTTCCTGGCACACCACAGGTCCACTGCGCACTCTTGGTGTAACACTACTATGTGCTTCACCCTCCAAGACACATGGGAATTAATTCTTTTCCCCTTGCATCAAAAATGCTTTTCTTCAGGAAATATGTCAGGTTTGTTTAATTTTATTCCATTCCCACCTAACAGATCTGCATCTCTTCGTTTCCTTTCACAGCAGACAGACACACTTTCCTAACACAAGACAAGCGTGTACCCCCATGCCAGCAAAGCCATCAGTGAAGTGGCACGTAAATCCTACCACTGAAAAAACAACCCCACTCACGCCAAAGCAACCATCACCAAGATCTCACATTGCTGCACAAAAACCATACAAGTAGATATGCTGGCTCATGTTTATTTTGCTTGACGTTCAGTTTATACAACAATGTACATAATGCATAAGGAGTACCTGCCTCAGCAACTTGTCAGGTGTAATGCCCATAGGAAACAGCTAGGAAGCAGTCACCACCTGACAGCAATGCCGCTCTTTTATTAAGGTACATCTTTCTTTTCTTTAAGATGCTGGCCACATTAACCTCAGGGTCCATTTCTCAGAAACTACAGCTGGCTGCTCCCTAGGCTCATTTCAGAGTCCCTCAGGAACTCAGCAGGAGGCTCCAAAGGACACGCTGCATACTGTAAACCCTTCTTGGAAAAAACGATTTTAGTACAGAATCAGACAGGAAAACTGGCCCACGTTGCTGACACCGCATCCTTCAGAGCACAGGAAACTATACCCCAAAACTTGCCTGTTTCTTCTCCTGCATGCCTACACTCATACAGGACAATACATCCCAGGCTGTTGAGGTCCTCAAGCTAACACATGAGGTAATGGCAACTGCAACTTTAAACAGGAAGTTGGTCATTTAGTTCAGTCAATGACTAAGAAATCACATTTTCTTTTCAGAACACATCCCCGCAATGGAAACAACCAAGGAGTTTCCCCTCAATCCCCATTACAGCTGGGATCCAGACATGACACACAAGCACCCATCCCGGCAGGGACTGCTGCTTTGCTGCCCCTATTTCTACATTTCTCCAGCAGGCAGGCAGCATGGCTAGGGGGAAACAACACTGTGGCTTGGTGTTCAGATTTGGCTAGCAGCTGCAGTGAGGGTGCAGTTGTCAAACAGAGAACCCAGTTTAGCCTCAAATAACCTAATATCCAAACTAGCCTGCTCCTCCCGTTCAGGGATTTTCTTTTATGCACCTTACAGGAAATTGGTTGAAATAATTTCCTCACTGGTTTATGTCAGTCAGTCAGTCAGTCTGCTGGCACCAAGCTGCTCATTATCTCACCTCTTCCTCAGGAACCCAGAAAAGTGTCTGCAACCCCAACCCCCAATGTAAATGTTTCTTGATAATACAAAGGGAAGTCAATAACAGTAAGCCAGTCCTGACTGATCTTTGGACTCCACCAGCTTAACATTCAGACTGGATTGTCAAACATATTTCAGCTAGTCAGAGACACACTGTACTCCTACAATTCAGAAGAACATAAAGCAGGGACATGCCAAACCCAGTTATATGATTCTCTTTCCATGGCGCAAGCAGAACCATTCATGCAGTCACTTAATAACAACCACACCATTGCTAGACCCCGCAATTTCAGATCTGGAGAAGAGGTAAAAGGATATCAAATTATTGACTACATACCTCTAGGGGGTTTCTGGTGAACTTTCACAAAATCTGCACCACATAAGTGATTGAGTTTCTCCTTGGTTCCATCATTATACAGGTGAATTAGCACCTCCTCTGGAAAGTAGGACTTCATTTCTGATAGTTTCAGGGCTCCTATTCCATTGGCACAGTCAATCTTCAGGTGCCTCTGACTCTCGCCAGAGCTGGGAGACTTAGCACAAGGGAAGAAGGGGCAAAGTGAACTCATACTCTAGTGAAATCACACCTAGAGGCATACTGAATTTGAAACTTCAGACCCAAACTGGCTAACAAACAGAAGATACTAACTTTGTACATTTGCATGAGGAAGACAACACCTACTACTCACCTGTTTTATCAGTTCCGTAAAAGCCCTCGATAGTTTTTCGTAATAACCTTCAAGTGTTGCTTTCCCATACTGCCCTTGGGTGTTTCGACAGCAGACCATGTAATGTAGCTGTGGTGTTGTCACCAGACCATAGTCTAGCATAAAATAAAAGGCACAATATTCAGAAACAGAATACTAAATTAATTCCTCCTTAAAAGTTGTACTGTATTTGCTATTCTACAATGAACAGATAAATACAGTGTAGGGAACCCATATGAAATTTTTCAAGTTCTGTTATGAAAAGATGAAAACCCCCACTTTACATTAAAGCCATACTACTGCCCTGAAAGAAGATCATTATAAACAAAAATGGAAATGGTGTCTGGGCTACTTCTTTAGATCTATATAACAGAATCACATTTACATAAAAACCTGAAATTAGACTAGAATCACAAAAGTTTAACATACCATGGTACTGGCCACCCAGAACAGAGATACCATCTATTACTGACTGTGAAAGTTTCTTGCTGCTTGGCCTGGAACACAACAAATACAATTGATTACCTTTGCAGAAGAAATTTATGTATGGACTTGGGAAGGAAGCACACATGGAAGAAGACTCTACAAGCTTCCTGCCAGTAGACTTCAATTCAATATGAAGAAATCCATACCTTTTTCTATTGTAGGTGCCTACCAATAAAGAAATTTGAAAGCCACCACCCCAGAGAATCACAAACACAAGTAAACTGCTGAACACACGTGTATGTTACACGGTACTCACAAAAAAACAAACCCACAATAAAGCATCCTGTTCAGAAGCAGTGCTAGGACGGTCTCATAACTATCAGGGAAGCTAATACTGGAACAGCATTGGAAAACTTTTGTTTATTACTATAATCATAAATTAACAGGTAGAAGACTAGGCGCACACACACACAAAAAGCATAATCTGGCCGTGGAGGGCTAAAAATCCAAAAGTGCCCACAGACAAAACATTAGCACCTCCATAAAAGCAGCATACTTCAACAACATTCTGTAATTACCTTGTGTCTCTACCAATAAAAACTGAAGCATCTTTGTGATGGTTCACTGCTGCTTTTTGGCAGATCTCTGTTATTACTGTCTGTAATTCTCCCTCCTCTGCATTTGCTAGTTGTGTAGCATACTCTTCCCAGGAAGGGTGCAGCATTTCTCCAAGAGGGTCAACCAGCTTTACGCCATTATCTTCCTTAAAGAAAATAGAAAAAAAATTAGTAAGCCCAGAAGTGGCCTAATAAAATCTCTTTGAAGACAGCTGACACATGATTCAATCACATTGCTGCTTTAAACATGGTGCATTTCTGGGAAACAATTGCTTAGCTGTTTATTTAAACCACCACCAAGACCAAAAATGTAACATAACCAGCATATTGCGTAACCGACTTTTCCCCTCTTATAATGTTGGTATGAAATGCATTTGATATTAAAATGACATAAGGGGAGATTCTAATAATCTAGAATGCTATCCAGCAGCAGAAGTCTAAATGCCTGATTTGTAATTGCCGCATCTCTATTTTTCAAACTTGCAGATTTTGCTCAAAGGTTCATCTCTACTCAAGGGTACTCCTAGCTTGCCAACATACAAGTTTCCTACATTACAGCATTTCCACATAAGAGAAAATGACACTTGTGTATACAGGGAAAAGTAACTTCAAAGATGACAGGGATCATATTTACAGGGAGCAGGCTAAACACATGCTTTAATCAAGTCCAAGTGCCTTCAGGATCTGGTCTGTCAATACCATGAAAGGCTTTGGTTGCACTGAACTGGTCTCATCTACTTTCTTTTTAAGGAAAAGCTTGTTCTTACTTCAGGATTGTGAGATGCCGTAACCATGACGCCAATAGTAGATATCACAGCTTTGGACCTGAGAACTGCCAGCAAGCCCATGCGGAACATGACGTGATCAAGCTGTTCAGCCTTGGTGCGAAATCCAGCAGTGCCATACTGAAGAGTAAGTCCAGCAGGTTTAGGGTGTAATGCTGAGTATTTTTTAAGGGCTTCAGAATCCATTTCTAGAGAAGGAAGTAACACAGATACAAGTGAGAGAAGTCATTATAAATAGTTTCACATTTTGCACTTTATTTAATTTTGAAACCCACAGATACCTTAAACCGTTCACAACAAATCCCTTGGTGAGACTGCGAGGGGGACCACTACCAGTGCAACGCATGAAGGAGCCTCTAGGTTCCCAGCACTGCGCTAGACAAACAGAACTCGACCAGATTTCACCAGATGACGAAGGGATGATGTGATTTGGGTGGGGACAGCCACAATTCTCAGTCGGCTGAATACAGGGATCCTAACGAAGTTATTGCGACGGGCTGGCCATTTCTCACGGTGACATCATCCCCTCAGTGCGCTCGGCCACGTCTCCACATACTAACTTTGACTCCAGAAGCAGACTGTCCTCCCTCTTCAAGGCCTTGCAGCCGCAGGGAAGCCGCCAGCAGCATCGCCAGGATGTTTTGCTCGGATCGCGGCTACGCTAAGGTGCCCTGCATGGACCCCACGCGCACCCACCCCGCCCCAGGCAGCTGAGCTCAGCGCGGTCGCGCGGCGTGTGCTAAACCTGCGTGTTAAACCCCGGGGTTTGACTCCAGGCTTCTTGTTCTAGGTGTGTGCAGAGTACAGTGCAATGGCTGTCGCAGTAAAAGAATGCCTGGAGCTCCAGCTGCTGGAAGTGGAAATGCTCCTTTCAATGTTTCCCAAAAAAGGTGAAATAAATCTGGATGAGGATGCTGTGCCCAGCGTGCAGCGCTACCTGAGAAATACTGATGGAGCTCTGCCCCCGCAGCTCGAATATTCAATCGCTATTGATGTAGGGGAGGCAAAGGTGAGAACTTCCACTGTTCGTATGTGTTGTTTTCTTTACCCTCTGGTCACACACTTAAAAACTCTGCCCTGAAAAAAAGTAGAAAAACCACCCAGTTTCTGTTTGTTGTTTGAAAAGTCAATACTAGCAAAGAAATCTTGTTTTCTTGTTATTTATTTGAGTCTTAACTTTGGGCAAGAAAGGCTCATAGAACTGCTGATGGGAATAGGCAGCCAGCATCAGTGGCACATACAGCATTCCCAAGGGCTTAGCTAGGGTTGTGCTTACGTGAGGGTTAAGTTTACTGGTTTACAGAGTTGTGTGTTACAAAGACAATGCTCCCTGCATGGGAATACGTATGTTGGACTTTAAATTATTCTAGTAAAATTGCCCTATTATATCTCCCTCCTACCCCTCATTGATTTGTCTTTACACAGTAATGTAAAAATAGCCCTAAACGGCAGAATACTGTTAATAGTCACACGCACTAAAATAAAACCAGCCTATAAATGGGGAAACAAAACTTACAGGGTAAGGCGTTCCGGTAGTATAACCAATTGAAGAAAAGGTTACACATGACAACTAATGATGTAAATACTTTCATGAAGAACATAGGTCTGAGTGTATAATAATGCACTGACTGGAAATTGAGAACAAACTCAACCTAGAAGCCATTTTCGTCAGAGTAAGGATAATTAAACATCAGAACAATTTACTGGTAATGAAGTGGCCTTGTGATTATTTGTAAACTTAGGCACAAGCTTAGATATCTTTCTAAAATGCACCCTTTCACCAGCCTCCAGAGAGAAATTTTATGAACTGTGCAGCGAGGGCTTGTGCAGGAAGATTTTTTTGTTTCCTGGCATATTGTCAAGGGACTTGGAAAGATAGTCATACCACGATTCACTTCTCTCTGCAGGACAAATCATATGATTGTATACTGTAGTGAAAGTCCCCTAATGGTATACAGCAGCCTCAAGCACTGAAGACACATGAATCCTCTTGGGTTCCTGGACCAGAGATAGGCTTCAGTATCCAAAGAACTGGTGCTCCATTTTAAGACATTTTAGGAATAAACAAGAGAAATTCAACAGCCACAGCCCATGGTTTGCATATCAGGCAAGATAATCTAGAGGTTTCCCTGGCCTAAAGTGCACATAAATCTTTTTATCCCCTATAATCCTGAGAATGCTACCTCTGTTTGGGTGAATACTTGCTTAAAATAATATTAATGCTTTACATACAATATTTACAGTTCACTGTTTTCTATAACTCTTGGCCTTGTTTTCCTAGGGTAGATCCAGCAACTGGGCTGAGTTCATTGATGAGATGTGGGTTTGGTCAGGGACAAGACTCTCAAAAGCCACATGACTGACAGACTGGTAGTTAATTGCTGTAGCAACACTGAGCATGTGCTGAGAATATGCACTAGAAATATCCCTGGGGGTAAGTGGGTACCTTTTTTCAAGCCAAGGCATTATTTCTGTAAACAGCAGAAGAGAACAGCCTTGATAACATTAGATATGGTGCAAAAGTCAGCATGGTGCAACAAAAGAAGAGCAAGCAAAAGAATGGGTTACAGGGACAAAAGGAAAGCGGAAGTAATTCCAGTCATCTCCTTGTAATCTGCCTTTGACAGGGAAGAAGCACCTACCATGTATTTCAATAGATGCAGGATTCATTTTCTGTTTGTGTGTGTGTACTCTGTTTTTAAGGTGAAAGTGGAATTGCAGGTACTGCTGCCTCATATGTATCCTCAGGTAGCTCCTGAGCTTTTTGCAAGGTCAAACGCACTGCACAGACAGCAACAGTTGCAGCTCAACACTGCTCTCACTTCTCACATCAGCTCTCTGGATTCAGGTGAACTGTGTATATATGAAGCTGTGCAATGGGTGAAAGACAACAGCCTGCCTTACTTGGAAAACGGTCAGATCTGTTCTGAAAGTGCTTCAGAAGAAGCTGTAGTTAAAGAAACATTGCATCGCATGTGGATCTACAGCCATCATATATATAGGCAGGAATTGAGGAAGAAGATTTTTGACTGTGCAAAGAAATTAAATCTGACTGGCTTCTGCCTAACAGGGAAACCTGGTGTCATCTGTGTGGAGGGACTCCGAGAAAACTGTGAGGAGTTCTGGCGTGTTATTAGGTATCCCAACTGGAAGCATATTTCATGCAAGCATGTGGAGAATATAGAAACAGAAGGAAATGTCGATAATCTTCGTCTCTTTCATGCTTTTGAAGACCTACAGTTTCAGGCACATGGTGATTATGGCCTGAGGAATGACTATCACATGGATCTTGGCCAGTTCCTGGAATTCCTGAAACAGCATCAAAGTGGACATATTTTTCAGATTTTATTTGGTGTGGAAGGCAAACTTTCAGACAAATAAGAGAAACTGTGTAAGGAGTTCTCATTTTGGACAGCAAGAGATGACACTAACATTGAATATTGTGCCTTGTAGCTACTGTGAAAAGGGAACTTTTAACATATGACAAGAATGGTTCAAGTAGCTAATCTTAGGTTCTGTTCTGAACTGCCACATATTTTTGAGAGGCGTTTACTTATTTTCTGAGACACTAAAATTGGCGTTTGTCACTACGAGCCATGCTTCAAAGTGCTTGCAAGATGATACACATCCCACACCATAGTATCCCGAATTACACACTTCTGTCTCCTCATCTATACTGTGCTGTGGGTCACTAAGCTGCAGCACAGACCTTTAGTTAACTTCTGCATACAGCTGTGGGATACCAAAGTGGCTGCAGTCACAGATTAATGTAGTTTCTAATACAAAAGCACACCCAGATCAAGGAAATCTCCCCACTACATTCAGGAGTTAGTGTATGCAGTGCTTTTCACTGCTTCACAAAGCAACTGCTCTCACTTGATTGAATTAATCCATGAAATGCAGAGACTTGTGTGTCCAACCACAGGACCAAGTTTTGTTTTTAAATAAAGGGCAGGGGGGAGGAGAAAGAAGCCCCATCCACTGTATGCTTTGGGTAGTACCTATACAATTATATTGTCAGTACTACAATTTTTGCAGTCCTCTATCATCTCATTACTGTCTGGTTATGTTAATAGTAACTTTTCAGCTGCTCAACTCATGGCATTTTATATTTACATTGTTAGGCCAAGCGCCCTGGAAATTAAAATGTGTAAGATGACACAAAGTTTAGTGTTTCCTCTGGTTTTCCCCTATGTTACTATAAGGAAATGCATGTAAAATACAGAAAAATGGAAAAACTGTATTTTAAATAAAAATAATTTTATCAGTCTTTTCTGTGTCAGATTAGTACTGAGAAACAATTTTCCAGCAGCTTGTAACAGGAAGTGATATTAATGGCTCATTAGGCGGCGCTTCCCTGCAGGGTCATGTGCTGAGTGTATATTTAGGTCGTGAATTGCAATTCAGTCGTCCAGTTTATAATGGATTATCATATTTAAAGTCATCAATATAATGTGTAGATGAAGACTGCAAAGTCCCCAGTAGCTGTGCTCTCAGAACCAGCAGTTTACCACCTTCCACTTTGTCACTGAGCACCCTAATACGAAAACTGGAACCAAGCAAATAAAGCAGTCTTACTGTTGAGCTGGAGAGGTTTGGCTGTTGGAATCCAAAAACGAGGCCATTTCAACAGCAGCTATTTAAAGACTGTGTTTTAGTACACCCAGCTGACAACTACAAAAATAACAGATATTATTTCAAATAAAACACAAGTGTTTTAATACTCTTCTCATAATAGTAATATATTGAAATACAGAGGATGGCAGTGTTTCTGGTTGCCCAGAATGATGATAAACACACATTCCTTCACTATGGTAAGTATATTGTTTGTATGATCCTAACTGTGGCCAGAAGCACAGTAGGGCACAAAATGCTGACAGGTTCCCATTATGCAATGAAGGAGAAAGTGCCTCTCCTCTTTCTGAATGCAGAACTTGCAGTCTGCAGCTGTGGCAGAACTGAGGGGCTGGGCAAGTAAAGTTAATTTTTGGTTTTGTAAAGATAATCTCTACAGCATGATAGTAGAAAAAAAGTTTATGTTCACTTTGTTTCCAGAACTGTCCAGAAAGTGTATTACATTTTTCTTGGAGTGGTAATTCTGTAACAACTAATAAATCTTAAGGGGTTTTTTTAGAACATTGATGTATGAGTGCAATCATGACTCAAAAACAGTTAAACAATTTGCATTCAGTCCTGTTGGGAAGTTGCCAAGTGATAAACTTTTTCCTTTAAAGCAGCAAAACAAAACAGTTTAGAAATAGGCCTTATCCATGAGATTTCAACCAGAAAGAAATGGAAAAGGAACCACCGGCATAGGTCAGAGAGTCTGTGCAGGAGGATGGTCAGTTCAGAGTTAGAGCTGTCTAAATCTTTATTCTGAGCACAAGCTTTGTTTGTTCATTTTTTCTAAAGGAAGAAGACACCAATAGTAAAATCCAATCGTGTGTCCTCTAAGGAAAACCGCAGACCCATGACTTTTATTTCTGGAAATGCTAATTATGAACCCAGAATAATGCAGGTCCCTGGATGCTTCCAGTGAGGTTTGCAGAGGAAATAATTTTTTTGTAGAAGATAAGGGTCACTGCCAGGTGTCACATTTGATAACACGTTGAGAGATGAGAAAGGGTTAAAAAAAAGTAAGAATATATCTTGAAATTATGTGTGTTAGATGAACATATTCAGCATGCTGAATTATGAATGGAAGTTGTAAAAACTATTTTAAAGACCGTAATGAAGAAATTGAACTAACCAGACTGTTCAAATAGTAGTAAGCAAGGGAAATAATCCATTAATATTAAAAAAAAAAAAAAAAGGGTTTGCTCCCCCCATAATAGTTACTCATTTGGTAGATGTCAGGTGGGTGACTTGCGAGTTTGTTATAAGGAATAATAGTTTTTCACATACAATGTGTGTTTAAAAATACATTGGCTTCAAATACTATAGGAATTCATTAGGTTTAATAATAAAAAACCCTACCACTAGCCAAGTAACTGATATTTCTAAGAAATTAGTCAAAAAGAAGCCTATTCATAACATTCTGATACTCTCCTTCTGTCAAGAACATGGAGTCCAAGCACTTCTGTGAACTTTAGGCCAAACAATTGCAGCGTATCAGAACAACAGTTATTTTGGTTGGGGAATGAAATCTTCACTCATTTACAGGCCTTCAGCTTAGGTAAGTAATGTTAAAATATTCTAATTAGATGTGAACAAGAGGTTATGCAGTTCAGTTCTTGTTAGAAAATTTCCTTTGCTCCACACAGGAATGAGCAATAAGGCTTTTCTTTGGAGGAAAATATTCTAACCTTACTGTTGTTTAAAGTTTTGGAATTTTTTTAAAATAGTAGCTTGACAATTTATGCAAATTACATTGTGACCTGTAATGGATTTAAGAGTCATTGTAAGCATTTCTTATCTTTCCATGGTACCGTTTGTCTGAAGTTCTCACTGACAGTTTTGACAAAATTCTCAACTCAAAATACAACCACTTATTTCAATAACAGAAAGATCTGTCAAACTATAGTGTCAGATATCTCAATTAAAATAACAATCCAAATAACCAAACAACACAAATATATTTCCAGATTAATTTTTATTTTTCTGATGAATAGTTAATATGATTTCTTGATCTGAGTTTCTAACCAAATATTGTAATTTAGAAAAAGTTTTCTGCATCTTAAAAAATCAGCTATTCTTAGGCTTCCTAGGCAGAAATGTTCTGAATATTTTAATGCTTTTTAAGTGCTGCTAGTTTGTTCATTCTTCATTAAATATTTACAGTTTCACTTTCATGGCTTCTTCAGGCCAGGTATAGGAGTCAGCCACAAAGCTGTTATAATCAGTACTGTAAACCTGAGAGCGGATGAAGGCTTCTAGGTCCTTGGGCTGAGGATAGGTGGAGGCAGTGTTATTCCTGTAGGCTGCTTCTGCGATCTAGAAATATGCATTAAAATCCTAATTAGTGCTGGTAAACTATTTGAATACATTTAACAGGATTTAAAAGTAGGAATTAGTTCAAAAATCAAGGTAAGACTTCATCTTCTGGGGTGCTGACAGTCACCTATATGCACACTGGATCTGGGCTACTATGCAGTGAACAAGGCTATGAACAGGCTGATGTTTGCATTTAAGTGAGTCGCTGTTACAAATACAGTGCTCCTCCTCACCTAGTAATATCTTAGCTTTTACTGTGCAGCGGTTGATCAAATATTCCACAAGCCTCAAGCACTGAGATGCAATATCTGCTTTTCCATCATCAGGTTCCCCTGGTTTACCATCTTCTTCAAAGCACAGTAAGAAAAGTGTGATTTGTTCAAAGCCTCCATGCTCCCTGCACAGTACATGTTTATTATTTGCCATAGTTTGATAATATAATTCTTAAGGTAAACTCATGAGAAAAAATCAGTCCTATGCAATGCAGAGGTTTAATTCTGGAGATTGTTGAGGAAAATACAAATATCTGCTTGCTTTTTCCTTACCCAAACCATAACTAAGTGAATCAATTATGCATCACAAGCATAGTTGCAACAAAAATGAAGTTTAGAAGAGGCTGGAGCCCACTCAACACATCAAAGTAGCCTCTCACATCTGAAGAACACCTACTTGAGAAATGTGTATCTTTAGACTGGACGTTCATCTATGAAACAAAAGAATTTTGACAGACTGTTTTTATGCAGCAGCACTCTGGAAAGATCTGCTTCAAGCTGTATTTGGCAAATTGACAAACACTCCTACTTTGAATAAAAGCAAGACAGTCTCCTTCCTGCTCTCCTTAGTTCTTCCCCTTTAAAACACAAATGTTTATCTTGGTGAGAAGCTGAGAGAGACCCCAAGTTACCAGATTTAGACTTCCTTTCTAGGATTAATATGAAGTCCAAATGGATTTGACTGAAAAGCACTTTGGGCGCTTGTGTCTGTCTGTGTGATTAATTATCATGGTTGAATGAGGTCTGAATTTATATTCCACTCTTGGTATTCAAAAATATGTTGATAGTGTTCCTCCCCTGGAAAAGGCAGAGGCTGCCGTTAAACCTCTTGGGCTGTACCAGCCAGAACAGGTATTTCCAGGAATAAAGTTTCAACAGAGATCAGGCAGAAAGAATCATTGGAAACATTCTCCTTTTTTGTATTTTATATAATACACACAAGCAGAGGAGGAATTTCTATCACTGTGTTTCTGCCAAACACAGTTTGATTTAGCCTGAGGAATCTAGGTAACATTTTGACATCCACAGAACGGAGTTACTACTTGCCTAAGAAGATGTGAAATGTGATAAGGATTTTTTTTTTTCTTTTTTTAAATATACAGAATGAGTGAAGCTAGGGGAACTGTTTCACACATGAGGGCTCCCTCTTATTCTTTCAGAAGAATATGCATTAAGTGGAATTATTCACAGTAAGATGACCAAGAGAGAAAACAGTAATTGGATCAAAAAAGGTCACAGAAGATCAGCAAAATAACCTCCTAAAATGCTGAAAAAAGCAACCTAAAAAACAGAACAAGGGAGGAACTGGGATAAATACATTATTTGAAAGCGTCCTCTTCTTCTCTCCAGGGCAGTCAGATTTCCTGGGAAACTGCAGGTTTATGTCAGTTCCTGAAAATCCATCTGCATCAGTTCTGCATTTGCCAGTAAAAACCAACCACTCGGGCAACCCCTAACCCAAACCCGACCCACAAACAAAAAGCATCCCCTGTCATTAGTTATTTTGATAGGCCAGAGTAAGGATGGGAACAAAAGGGAATAGTGCCTGGACACAGGGGCAATATTTACCTTCTTGACACAGAACCGATAATCATGAAGGGCCAAAAGCCTTCAGCTGCGCAGCTCGCATGGCTGTAAGCCTGGGGATCTGCTCCTAACTGATGGACAGTACAGTTTGGGCTCTATGGACATAAACACTTGCTATAGTTCCATATCTTCTTGTACTTGGATTACATTTATGAATTTAATTTTAAAACTGCTACTTGCCCAAGATTGATTGATGCAAACCAGCTTCAGCTTGCATGAAGGTGCATTAGTTGACCAAGTCAAACGCTCAGTTATGTAGATAGTGTAGGAAGAAAAGCCACAAAAGACTGAAATGACTTACCCTCACAGCAATTTTCAGCGACACGTGCTGTATAGTGACTAACGGAGGGTACAGACGACCTTCCTGTAAATTCTCATCTGAAACTTGCTGAGCTATTACCTAGAAATGAAGCAGACACGTTTAACTTGAAATGCAGATGCAGCTGTAGCTTTATTAGACAGTGATCTACACTTAAACAAAGAAATCACAGAATCATCAAAATTGGAAAAGACCTTGAAGATCAGCCAGTCCAACCATTAACCTCACACTGACCATTCTCAACTCCACCATATCCCCCAGCACTGGGTCAACCCGACTTTTAAACCCCTCCAGGGATGGGGAATCCACCACTGCCCTGGGCAGCCCATTCCAACAACCCCTTCTGGAAAGAAATACTTCCCAATATCCAGATAACCCTGCCCTTGTGCAGCTTGAGGCCATTCCCTCTTGTCCTATCACTTGTTACTTGGTTAGAGACTCATCCCCAGCTCTCTGCACCCTCCTTTCAGGGAGCTGTAGAGGGCGATGAGGTCTCCCCTCAGCCTCTTCTTCTCCAGACTAAACACCCCCAGTTCCCTCAGCCGCTCCCTGCACCAGCTTCGTTGCCCTTCTCTGGACACGCTCGAGTCATTCAATGGCCTTTTTGGAGTGAGGGGCCCAAAACTGAACACAGGAATTGAGGGGCGGCCTCACCAGTGCCGAGGACAGGGGTGAGATCCCTTCCCTGTCCCTGCTGGCCACGCTATTGCTGACACAAGCCAGGATGCCATTGGCCTTCTTGGCCACCTGGGCACACTGCTGGCTTGTTCTGCCTCAGAAAATCATGCATACACTGCTTAATCCACCTAGGCAGTGGTTTTTACAGTCATCTTTATCATTAGGAGTAGCTACACAAGAACTAGAGATTTTGGGAGTTATGCCCTTTTCCCACTCAGACAATAAGACTTTTCAAGTCTTGAGTAAGTCCATGACACACA